TTTGCAGACACAATCTGAATGCAGTACGCCTTTATCTGATGTGATTTGGGGAACTGTTAATCAGAAGATCTTATTGTACATTGTCCATTGTATTTGGTACGTATATCCGGTTTTGTTAGTAACCAATCAAATATTAGAACGTAAGGAGCAGTGAATGGAGCAGTGTCACATTTGTCACATTGTGCGCACCCCTGCTGCGCATAACGAAGACTGGTTCGGAAAGTGTCGGTATATAGCAAGGTAATCAAATGCATTCACCCGAAAACATCGATTAGTTAGCTACCATAGGATTTGGTACTAGGTAATTCTACCGTACGCCAAGTAACATCCTCACTGCCATAATTTTGTCCTTGCACTGGTTGAATTTAATTTCGGAAGGAAAAAAAAAGCATTTTTTATTAATCATTTCTGTGCGCTACCTATATAGTTTTACACATAATTTGCTTGTAATATATGCACACTTAGAATATGCATTAAATACAATTCCGTGCAGTAGGTGTCTCTGTTAGTATCGGCATATAGTATATAGCACGAACGTTTTTGGAAACTTAAAAATCACAAGCTTTGGACAACGTGATTCATATATGGAGATTTTTCAGTTGGTTTTAATAACGATCTCAACTCGAAATCAAATGGACATAGCCCAAGTTAGGTATGTCGCCCGCCACACGGTTGTCGCTAGCTATACTCAAGGACCACTTGGCCAAAATAGGATCAATACTAAGATAATGGTTCGTTCTGTGACGAAAAGTAACGAACTCTTGCGCGTATCAGCAATATTGTGTCAAACGCTTCCCACTGACAGCAAATTATATAAAAGAAGCAAGATTTCAATGCTGTTTATATAACCTGTTGTCTAGGACTTAAGGAGAACACCGCTCAGAAATAGAAGCAGCTCAAAGATGTTTCGTTTGGGGTTCGTTCTAATCCTGTGCGTTTTTGGCAGCAATGCTTACAACCTCGACCACGATTTGGAAGGTACGGGATTTATTACAGACTTTATATATACTGGATAGCTGTTCAAACTGTCATCCTTGAAGATCAATTAATAAAAGGCTGAAGCTTTTTCCAGTCAGTCAGTCAGTCAGTCCTAATCGCGCAAAAATATGTGAGTAATATGACCAACACAGGTAGCGCATTTGGTCGGCTTCTTTGCATAGGAATACGTGAATAGGTTTATTCATGATTTATTTCAAAACTTCAAGTCAGATCTGCGCTAGCTTGGTAATATGATCATTTCTGAACTGTTCTCCTTAGATAGATCAGTTGTAAACAGGTATATGCACGGTTGTGCCAATGTCATTCTTACTTGAGAGCTAAGATGAATCGCAAATCCAATGCATGCATGAAGATCAAGATTTCTAAGGCGCCTCTGGCAGCCCGCAGCCACCTTATGACCCATGTCCGACCACATACCATGCATAGGGGCCAATCCTATAACCCAGAGGAGGTTGGCCACGGCCCGCAAAGGCTCATGGGTAGATTTCTTGTGATTTAATTTTGAAGTTCATTTGCATTTGACCTTCAACGAGAAAGGAACAGGAGCAGAGCGTATTAATCACACGAGCCACGAGAAATTATAAAATAACTTCGTTAATTGCAGCCGTATTGAAGCGCGCACTTTTGCATTATTTTGTTTCATTTGTCGCTCATTTTTTGTCTGGAAGCAGACGTGTTCTTAATTGGTATTAACGGCCTTCTTGGCTTTCTTAGTCCTAATATAACCAAGGACTCATCTATACTGTCAAGAGTATCTAGGGAAATCGCTTGGAATTGATACGTCTTGTTATCATTACAAAGGCGCATATCCTTGTGCTACAGAACTGGCCCTTGGAATACCAACGAATAAGTAAGTACATGTTTTACAACTCAAAAACATTAAATATTAATGAGTGTCGTCGTAGGATTCTAGTTGTTGCTCATTGAAGGAGTCATTGTGTATTCAAAATATTTAATTTCAATGGCATTCTCAAACATTCTCAAACAGATCTGGCATTCTCAAACAGATCTAATTACAAAGAAAGTGAACAAGGGTCTTTACGTCCTTAGACGATTAAGAGATTTTGTTGATGTAAGGACTCTAGTAACAGTTTACAAAACTTTAATTCAACCACACTTTGATTACTGCTCGCAAGTATGGGGTTGTCTTGGAATTACCCTTCAAAACCAGTTGCAACGTTTACAAAATAGAGCAGCACGTATCATTACAAAGCGTGGGTATGAACTTAGATCAGCCGATATACTTAAAGAATTAGATTTACCTAATTTAAGTCTCAGAAGAAATAATCAATTATGTACTACTATGTATCAGGTAAATAATAATATGGTGCCTGATTACCTAATTGATTTATTCACGAAAACCAGTACACTTCATAATCATTAAACTAGGCAGGCTGAATTTAACTTTGCACTCCCGAGGCCAAGTACCAACTTTTGTAAAAAATCATTCTCGTACAGAGGAGCTGTAGCTTGGAATGATTTATTACCTAATATAAAAAATATGGGTTCATTGTCAACCTTCAAAAGGGCTCTAGTGTCAAATAGTCGTAATAATTCTTGATAATCAATTTTTTTTTTCTTTTCTCTTCGATTTTATTGTATTAACTTAATAAAATATTTTTATAATTGCATGTAATTATTCATTCATATATAGCACGGCCTATTGGAAGATCACATCTTGTAAATATTTTAGTTTTTGTCTTTGTGAAATAGTACCGTGGGTAAATAAAGTTTGATTGATTGATTGATTGATTGATTGATTGATTGTATGGAAATGTGTTTTGTGTGATACAATTTAAAGAAGCAAGTTCTATTTGTATTTACTACATGATACATCGACTACATAGTTCAAGTTATAAGGCTTCTGCAAGCCAGTGATATTAAGCCTATTGCGGTGTTTGATGGAAACAAACTCCCAGCAAAAAGCAATGTGAACTGAACCGCTCTCGTGAAACGTACAGTTTCAACAATTTATATAATAATATTAGTCATTGTGATCAAAACATATCTTTCTTCATATTGATATTCAGTTATTGTATATGTGTAATGTTATTTCTTATAGTACAAGAAAGGTGCATTAAGAAAGGGCAAAGCCCTCAAAGGCCTTGAAAGTGACATGGAATATGGTTTTTATTAACCACAATTAATTGAGATATTCAAATTATAAGTTTTATTGATAGAATGGGCATTGTAGATTTGGTAAAAGAGGCGGTCAAGTCTGTTCTGCATGTGCTATATCACCTATATGAGAGGTCCTCATATGATCAGACATATGTAAACAATGTTAAAATTTGTTTCGTTGTTTCGACATCTTCTAAATTAGAAACTCTATCTATATTTATTTATAGCGAACCAAAACACATCATATTTTTTAAATATAGCATGAATGTAAAGAAACTGACATATTTGTTTACATTTGGACTTGAACTCTATATGCTATAAATCACATCAAGCACAATGCCAAATTTCCACACATACCATTATTTTTTAAATCAAGCTTAACTTAAGTTACTGATAGAGTTATTGACTGTACTTATATATCAGACATTAAAAAGTATGGGAGTGGACTATGATGTGGCTCCATTTGAAGCAGATGCCCAAGCAACCTCGCAAGCCAGGGTTTTTATCACGCTTGAGGCGAGGAAAAACCCTGGTTACCGCTGGTCACGTGACTCTTCAAAATCCCCAGAATCTGGGGGAAAATTAAAATAGTACTGAGGGAGGGGTGGCAGAGGAGCGCACTGAAATTTATTGAAATGTTTCCTAACAAGTAATAATATATTATTGTGATTTTTGTTGCGAAATAAATCAATTATAAACAACAAGAAAACATTGAAATTGATTACATCCTGTTTTGGAACAGATAAATGCAATATTAAAGGTATTGAATTACAGTTTTGAGCATCAAATTTCGAAAGTCTATTTTATTCTATTTTATTTATTCAATCGAGTCGATGGGCGATGATAGCTTTATAGCAAGAACTCAGAGGCCAAAGAAATTCTACAAAAGAGAATCGACTGCCATGCAATATTTCGCTTTATAGCGTATATAGGCTATGTGCTTTTGTTGCTGACCTAAAACGCAGCAAGAATCTCTATTGGAGGCAGTCCGAAACAATCGATTTTTCGCAACGCAAAGATAATTTTTGTTGGTGAATTGCGGCAAGAAGCGGTTTTCCTCATCAGATATGTGTGCCATGTGAAAGAAGGCTCAACAATGCCATGTAATTCAGGGTGCTTGAGCAAAAATGTCCGTGTGAAACGTTGTGTGGAACTCTAGCCATATGTTGCGAAGCTGGTCGCAAAGTCGTGCAGCTGGGACTTCGGCCTTCGGGTCGTCGAAGTATCGACTTCACTTTGGAAGACTAAACACGACCGTTTTGGCATCACTGAGACTCTGTTATCAAGAATAATGTCGAGGTATAGCTCTCTGTTATCAAGCGAATGGTAAAGTCATCCGATGCAGGCGCAAAAGCACTGTTGCGTGCGGAATAATTTGAATACAAAAGACAAAATATAGTATTGTAGCTGTAATATGCGTATATATACAATTATTTCATATTTATTTCATATTTTATACACCGGGCACATTATAAATATTATAGAAAGCTTTCATTGCTATTAGCTTTGTGGTTTGATCTATCCAGCTACATGTTTTAATATTTTGTCATAGAACAGAACACGCTGTTGTGAGACATCAATCGCCTTTTAATACATTATCCAACTATGCCGCACTAGAGACAAACAACAACCTATCAATTAATAGACATGGTACAATATATTTATAAAATAGAAACTTTAAAATGCTTTTAAAAGCTGATAAATTATAAAAGTAATGCCATGTCTGTGCCAGACTTTGTGCGTATACAGAATTTATGAATCATTACATGTATATATATATCCTAATATCCCTGACAAAATGCAGAGAAACGTTATACTGTGCACGCATAATAAAAAATATTTTGCTGAACCTTATCTGTTATTATTCACATGGCAAGGTATAAAAGGTAAAGTAAAAAATATTTTGCTTTCAAATGTTCAACAACATACTCATGCAGACAAAAAAGGAAAAGCATACAGTTGTCTTATAATTCTGCACTGTAAATTCTCTAACAATTTTTGTACCCTACACTCACTCCTTCCTACAATACCCAATGCATGTAATATAAACGTTCAATATTTTTAAATAAAATCAGTAGCATATAAACAGTCTATAAAACGTTTTAGAATGAATACAATGGACATTCAATGTCCATTTGAGACTATTGAGTATTTGGCTTGTGTCCAAATGCCCTTTTCCAGTTTGCCCTGTGGTTTGTCTTTACTGTATTAATTTGGCTTGCCGAAAAACCTCAAAGGCGCTACGACCTATAAAAGTCTATAAACATGCAGTCGCTCTCGAGACCTTTGTTGAAATTAACAAGTAAAGCAATGCAAAGTTTATACCGTTTCCAGATAATAATTATTTAGTATAAACATATTCTAAGATTATAAATAATGTGAACCAAAGCCGGGCAGAGCAGAAACATGTGAAAAGAAAGTGCCTTTTATATACAAGTGTGCCCAGAAAAAACATATTATAACGATAGAGCATATGTCATATGATCATACATTTTTATTGCTTGATGTTGCTATAAAAATCTGTTTAGCCTTCTTACACTGGCCTGTAGGCCAAGTGTCTTAAATCCCTCTTTTCCTGTCTTTTCCTGTTTTTTTTCGTAGTCGAGAAATCGAGTTTGCGTTAGCTCATCGCAGGCTCAGGGTGCAACGACTAAGCCAAAATGCCATCGATCCCCTCGGTTCCATGATTTACATAGTATAGTAATAAGTCCGTATTTATGTACGTAATAGCCGACTCATGCCATGCTTGTGGTGCATTTTTCGTTTATTAGCCCATACACTTGTACGCACGCGCACAATTCCGAACTCCAATGGCGGCTTTTCACAGAGTGATCAAACTATATTTTACACAGTTTCGTTGAATTTTCAAAGAATTGTGCCGGTTTCCTATGGATTTTACGTTGTGTCGTACTCTGGACTTTCTTGCGTGTTGAATTAATGTGTTTTTCTTTGTGTAACGACTCGAAAATTTAGACCCAGCGAATTTATACAATATATAGAAGGATATTTAAACAAGGACAAGTTAAAGGTTTGACAATTTGACTTTTTAATAAACAACTATAAATATACGTCGTGGACTCATAACATTCGTTGTGTACTTGTGTTAATTTTTGCATCGCACTCTGGACTTTCTTGCCTGTTGAATTAATGATTTTCTTTTTGTATTAAATTAAACGACTCGAAAACCCCAAAATTTCATAAATTTGTACCCAGCGAATTTATACAATATATTGGAATATAAACAAGGACAAACTCTCCGAATTACTTACGATAGTTTTAGTCAAATGTCGACAATATACCTTTAAATACATGTATTAAAATCCGCGCAGTACTAGAATTAAGAGAATTAGCGTAGCGCTGGCCGCTTAGCCTGTGTACAGCCGTAAATTCTCACAGGCTATGGCCGCTGGGTGCGGAAATTTTAGTACTGCGCGAAATATAATCCGCGCGAAAAGCTATGTGGTAGCTATACTAAAGATAAAGCGTGCGTTCAAAATACCAACAAGAACTAGAACCATTATTGTATGGTTCTCATTTGCTAGACTTGCCACAAGTCGACCTCGAAGAAACGCATTTCGTTCGAAGTCGACTTGTGGCAAGTGTACTCATTTGCCTAATACAATAACATTTAGTTCGACGCGAATTTTAATACAAGTATGGTATCATATTTCATAATATAACAAACAATGTAAACGTACTAGCCATACATTTTGCCGAACATAACTTCGGCCCCTTTGGACATATCTTTTTCGTAATAATATTATTGGAACCAGAATCGAAAACACTATTTATAGTGTTATTTTCAAGCTTGTGTCTTGAGATTGTCATCTTTTATTTCGGTATTTACAGAATATTTATATTTTCAGCGCGGCCCATGGAACGTACATCAAAACAACGCGCTGTTTAGGAAAAACCGGAAATCGATTCTGTAGGTCGGCATGATTTGCACGTGCATTGATCGAGCTATTAACGTGCGTGCGAGTAAAAACCCGATATTCTGAAAAATTCTAAATAAATATTCCTACTCTGTGCCGTATTCAAACGAAACTTTGTATATGAAAGCGCTTGAATACAAGATGTATTTTACTCACATTGACTCTGAGCAAATTCTGAAGAGTCACCCGCATTGCCTGTTAATGGGTTAATAAGAGACATTGGCAGATGTGTTTGTTAACCCATTTACTGACAGTACTCTGCCACTAACAAGTAAAATCGTCTGGCGTTACAGTGTAAATTGGTCTGGCGTTAGCCAGAGTTAATACTAAAGTAGTGTGCATTGGCAGCTAATAGGTAATAGACCTTAATATCCATATTAATAGACCTTAATATCGTATTCCGTGCACACAATTTAAGAATGAATTTGTGAACGGGCTTAAATGATGAACGAGAAGGAAACATTGGGGATATAACCAAGAATTGTGTAGAAGTATACATTTTTGCATAATTGCATTCAGTTCATACGCCAAAAACGCAGCACTTTCCTTGCGATAGTAACTCCTAGTTATTGACTTGCACCATTAACGTCTCCCGAAAAGGTCTTTTATTTTTTAAAAAAAAGTCCATAAAATTTGCTTGCGGTTTAAGATTTGTATTCCTGCCTTTTGCACCATAGCACGTATCTCGTTATTTTCAGGCCAGTGTGAACGCCTGAGCAGGCGTCTTGTTTTATATTAAATTCACTCCTTTTCGACCACCCCCTTTCGCATCATATTACGACACAATTTTTCTAATATAAATATCTCGGCGAGTATTTACCCCCCTTTTAAATAAAATCCACCATTGTAATCCTCATAAAATAACCTTTCAAACGGGGGGTCAAGTGCCGTCTGAACATTACACAAACCGAAACAATCATATATTTACTCACCGCTTGGCCAAAGATTCTAAATTTCATATCCACAAGATCTTGAATACCCCTTGAACTTTTCGACATTTGCTGAACGGCTATATGTGTAAAATACTCTTTGTATTCAAGCGCTTTCGTGTACAAAGTTTCGTATGTATACGCCGACTAGAAATATTTATTTTGAATTTTTCAAGATGCGGGTTTTACTCGCACTTGCGTACATTGCGCAATAATTGGCCAATAAGAAGCTCCTTTGGCCGGGATGACGTCAAACTCACGCGTGTAGGTGCAATTTGACCTTGCGAATCCATTTCTGGCCTTTGCAGGGTCATACGATACAAGCTTCGAATTGTTTTGACGGTTTTCAGTCGTATTTCCGGTTGGGATTAATTCACTTCGAGCTCACAGTCGGGCAAGAAATGGAAATATATTGATAAAAGATACAGATTTGAAGACACAGGCTTGCAAATAACACTCTAAGTAGTGTTTTTAATGGGGATTTTAACAAGACTATTACAAAGACGATATGTTCGAAGGGGCCGAAGTTATTTTCGGCGAAAGGTACGGCTAGTCTATATTTTTGTTCAGACAATTGCGTAATTTGATACAATATGATCGTGTTTGACTCCAAAGGCCCATAAATCGCTACAATGTTGATAATGACTATAACTATAGGGAGGAATTAGTTGAATCTTTTATTTCTGAATCGAATGGTGGTATTTCTGTCTTCATAGCATGCACTGAACCGAAGATATTAAATTTCTTGCAATCGTTCAGTGCTGATCGACGCAACTGGGATGTGGTGAAAAAGAGTATAAGAGTTTTTGACGAATATGTGATTTGATCGGTACAGAACACTCGCTCCTTGCGATCGAAGTGTAAAATGTGGAAGTGGAAACATGTAATATGACACTTTTCCCTCTCCCCCTTAGGCAATCAATTTTATGGGAGTCACGTGACCAGCGGTAACCAGGGTTTTTCCCAAAAACCCTGGCTTGCGAGGTCGATGCCCAACTAACCTATTTGGAATCGCAGGGTCTTTTGAAGCGGTTATAACAGAAGATTCCAACTTACTTGCATTTAATTTAGTTGTAAAGAGGTAATTAATTTTTCGACCACCCCCTCTCGCATCATATTACGACACAATTTTTCTAATATAAATATCTCGGCGAGTATTTACCCCCCTTATAAATAAATACCACCATTGTAATCCTCACAAAATAACCTTTCAAACGGGGGGTCAAGTGCCGTCTGAACATTACACAAACCGAAACAATCATATATTTACTCACGCTTGGCCAAAGATTCTAAATTTCATATACACAAGATCTTGAATATCTCTTGAACATTTCGTCATTTGCTGAACGGCTATATGTGTAAAATACTCTTTGTATTCAAGCGCTTTTGTGTAGAAAGTTTCGTATGTATACGCCGACTAGAAATATTTATTTTGAATTTTTCAAGATATCGGGTTTTACTCGCAGTTGCGAACATTGCGCAATAATTGGCCAATAAGAAGCTCCTGTTGGCCGGTATGACGTCAAACTCACGCGTGTAGGTGCAATTTGACAGCAATGGCCAGCAATGGCCTTTGCAGGGTCATACAATACAAGCTTCGCATTGTTTTGACGATTTTCAGTCGTATTTCCGGTTGGGATTAACTCACTTCGAGCTCACAGTCGGGCAAGAAATAGAAATATATTGATAAAAGATACAGATTTGAAGATACAGGCTTGCAAATAACACTCTAAGTAGTGTTTTTAATGGGGATTTTAACAAGACTATTACAAAGACGATATGTTCGAAGGGGCCGAAGTTATTTTCGGCAAAATGTATAGCTAGTCTATATTTTTGTTCAGACAATTGCGTAATTTGATACAATATGATCGTGTTTGACTTCAAAGGCCCATAAATCGCTACAATGTTGATAATGACTATAACTATAGGGAGGAATTAGTTGAATCTTTTCTTTCTGAATCGAATGGTGGTATTTCTGTCTTCATAGCATGCACTGAACCGAAGATATTAAATATCTTGCAATCGATCAGTGCTGATCGACGCAACTGGGACGTGGTGGAAAAGAGTAAAAGTGCCCCTGACACAAAAATTGATTTTTTGTGTATTGAAAGTACACATTATGTGGAGTGTTTTGGTAAAAGAATTTTTTGATTTCATTAAAAAGGAAAAATTTTAGAGCGGTTTAAACATACAAATTTTTGGCACATGGACGTCTGCTACAGGAGTCTGGGGATAGCATTTTTTGTGACGTCACGCAAGTGAGTCAAATCTTGTCTCTTTTATCAGTTTTGATCAGCTCGAAGGTTTTGATCGCTGAACGGCTGAAGTGTTTTTATATTCTAAGTTCTATCATGGTTCTATAAAGTATCATGTCGACAACAGAATCCGACAGTAGCGATCAGTCCGATGATTCCAGTGCGAATTTTATACCTGGTTAATATATGTTGTGTTGGAAGATGCTGATCAGCAACACGCCAGGTCCCTAGTATTATCATTAAAACCACCAAATCTACACGACGCGGACGTGACGAAAAACTGCCGCTATTATCACAATTTCACTTCACGAGTAAAACTATGGATTGTTGTTGGTAAACAAAGCTAGGGGACACGAAAAAAATAAAATAAAACTAGTCTCCCATTATTAGCGACTGTTTTTAGTCTGCGTCTCAGATTTGGCGCATGTTAAGCTCCTTGCCTGGCCCTCTGCTATAAACGTAGACGTTCTATGGCTTTGCAAGGTTTATATCTCCGGTTCGGTGCATGCTGTGAAGATAAAAATACTACGACTCGATTCAGTGAAACAAAATCTCCTAATTCCCAGCGATAGTTTTAGACTTTTAGTCAGATACAGGCTATAGTTTTAGTCAGATGGTATAGCTATTTATGACCTTTGTCTTTGACTTTGATAGGTCAAGCGGTGTCATAATTCATTATATTACTCAATTTATAGTCTCGAACAATGTAAACTAGTCATATCTTTCGCCGAACATAAATTCGGCCCCTTTGGAAATATCTTTTTCGTAATAGTCTTATTCGAACCGGAATCGAAAACACTATTTAGAGTGTTATTTTCAAGCTTGTGTCTTCAGATTTGCATCTTTCATTTCGGTATTACAAAATATTTATATTATTAGCGGGCCCGTAAAACCGAAATTGAATAATCAAAACAACGCAAATTATCGTCAGTCTTTAATAGCTTCGGATAGTTAGGCTTGCCGAGCCCCGTCAACGAAAGACACGAAAAGAATCGCCTCTCGTAATCCTCTGGTCAAAAATGATCCGAGCATATAGTCGAAGTCTAGCTTTGACGGCACAAACAAACGTTTTGCGGATATAAAACCAACCCATACTTTTCTTCGTCTTTTAGCTTCCGCGCGTTCGTTATTGAAGTATGGAATATTGTGTAAACTTATTCCATCTTTTAAACATGGTTTATTGGTACAGTTAGCTGCAACATAGTAAAAAGGCATATATTTTTTTATCACAAATCTAGTATATTTGTATATGGACTATATGCGCCAAGAGTTAGTACCAGTCGAATAAATTATAGAATACCCCGACTCACTTGCGTGATGTAACAAAAATCGCTCGTTCCAGTTTCCTTCGAACACGGACGCGTGCCAACAAAAAGGCCACATTTTGCGTGTTCAAACGGCTCTAAAATTTTTTCGTTTCAATGAAATAAAAAAATTCTTTCACCAAAACACTCCACATAATGTGTACTTTCAATACACAAAA